CCTTTACACTCCTGTCGCAGAGGACAGTACGACTTTACCCCCAGACCGCCTCGTAGCACGATTACTCGTAGTACGGGGTCTCGCTGCTCTTGGTCTGGCTGCTCCCCCTTGGCCTTTCTGGCATGGTTGCACCTTGTGGAACGAAGTTCCAGCCAGTGTAGCCTGCGGGATCATTGCAGCACTGAAGCCCGACAACCACGTCAAGGTGGCAGCTTTAGGTCGGGGCTTTCGTGACTGAATGCCTTGCTCTCTCTGGAACAAGCAAGATTGCTTGGGATGCGAGTTTCTACCATTCATCCCAAGTAGCCTTGCTAGCGGAGCTGGTTTTCGGCGTTTGCACTTTGTTCGGGATTCGATCTGGCAACCTGATGCGTAGGATTTCGCCCATACATTAGAAGTAAGGTATCTAGGTTTCACTGTCATTCGACAGTGATGACAGGACCACAACCCAATAACGAATGCGGTTCTATGAATACAACAACAAAATGGTAGAATTGTACGAACTTCAAGTCGTGTTACTACGTCGGCTTCTATACACTGGTATACGAACTGCTAATTCCTAATGCAATCTTAAAGCCCACGCCGACCTAAAGCAAGATGGCCACAAGATAGCGAAACCCACATGTTGTTATTAATTTGCGATGACTAGATCAGAGGACGGCTTACGTTCAGGTCAAAACAACAAAGACGGGGGATGACGCTGTACACAGTAAGCGTAGAAGAAATGTTGAGGTGTTTCTCAGGCAAATGCCATAGTCAGCTGCTGCAACTACGCATCTGAATGCAAAAACAAAAAGCAATCGTGTAGCCTACGAATATTGGGCTCGGCCATCAGTGTTTCGGCCATGAAGCGCTTCAGGCTGCATGAGTAAAAATATGCTCAGGCCTCTGCAGTTTTCTCTAGTTCGGTCCTCAGTCGATATTGGACTTCTGGTTCATGAAATCATTTCAGTCTGGCAAAAGATCTCTGATGAAAACTGCGCTTCAGTTAGAATTGGACATGTTCGTTTCATTTGGTTCACTACTCATTCTTTGATTTCTGTGTTTCGAAAACTCGGTATTGGTGCTTACGAGTTGCTTCCAAACTGTCGGATCTCAGATTGTTATGATGCTAAATTCTCAATAAAAGTAGATACTGATGAATTCTACTCATTAGACTAGCTTGCTTTTGTTCTTCCTTTAGACTAATTTTATCCACGGCAGATGCTTGAGTGTTTTCTTATCCGGATCCACTAGCTTCCTGGTGTGCTTGTGACATGGTTATCCACCATCGTTTATGTGAGATGCTCGCAAAATTTAGCTGCAATTTCCTGGCTCTTTGGTTCTACACCCAGCTTGAGTGCTTCTTCTAGCTTCTGCGACCACGATAGTTAGCGGGACACGGTCCACATCTCATTCGAACCCATTCTTCCTGTGATCAGTTCTTATCTCTGTGTTTCATCCATATGGTCTTTAAGGTGTCCTTGCACCCTCTATGCATGAGTCCACATGATGAGCAGTGTATCCAACACATGCTCAGTAATCACCCATCGCATTTATTGGTTGTTGATCAGGTGGCTGTTGATCTGTTCGCCGAGCTTGGCAATTGGCTTGCAAACGTTTCGTCACCATACGAGGAGACATCATGAGTGCGCAGTTGAGTGGGTACTTCTTCCTTGCCTGCGCGCGCTTATATAGCACTCGAGGGCTATCTGTTATCTTCTGACGTGACTGGCTACTTAAAGTGTAGCAAATTTGGTGAATCTATTGGTCCATTTGTGATCTTTGTTGCGTTGTGGTCTGACGTTCTTGAGTTTGATTGGTTGCTTGTGCCGCCCTATTTCCTCCACCGTAGCGGTCAGCGTCCCTTCGTCCGTCGGTTGATTTGGGGCTTTGATTGGGCGCTTCCTCCAATCCAATTGATGTGTCCGTTTGAATGATGTTTTCCTCCTTCTCTTATGATTTCCTCGTCTGGTTGATTTTGCAGCTTTAAGCTCGGTGGTTCTGGAGTTCTCTCGCTCTTAGTGGCTGGTAAATGGGATCAATTTCGATATGTTTGTTGATCGCCTCTTCGGTGGAGTACCATGCTTCCATAAATTCGCGTTCGTTTTTTGTTCTTGCTTGAGCCAATATGCAGACGCCGCTCCGGTCGAACTCGTGTCCTTCCTGATCTTTGTGTGCAGAGATGGGGGAGAACTGCTAGTGCCTCTTAGTGTGTTCATGTATTCTGGCTGAGAGCTTCCTTCCTGTTTGTCCTACATACCTGTATATGACAACGGAAAACTGGCGTTCCTGGACGTCCCTGTCACTAGATTGCCGAACGGACAGCTACAAACTGAAGTCTACAGAAAGGCGACACATACGGACCAAATCCTCAGCTACCACAGCAACCATCCAAATTGCCACAAACAAAGCTGCGTTCGGACACTTTTCAAGCGGATCGAGACACACTGCAGCACAACAGAATCCAAGATCAAAGAAGAAAAGCGCCTATACAGATTGTTCCAGAAAAATGGATACCCGAGGAATTTCATCTGGAGAACACTCAGGAAGCCAAATACGAACGATGCAACAGGACAAAATGCAAGTAAGCGAATCACACTCCCGTACATCAAGAACACCGCTGAAATGACGGCAAGGCTCTTACGACAGCACAATATATTGCTCGCTTACAAGCCTTCGAGCACTCTAAGGAGGACACAATCAAGACCAAAAGGGAAATTAGATCCAATGGCGAAGAACAATGTCATATACAGGTTCCAATGCAAGGACTGCGACAAACGGTATGTAGGACAAACAGGAAGGAAGCTCTCAGCCAGAATACATGAACACAAGCTCGCCACTAAGAGGCACGATCAGTTCTCCCCCATCTCTGCACACAAAGATCAGGAAGGACACGAGTTCGACTGGGGCGGCGTCTGCATATTGGCTCACGCCCGGCAGTTTATCGTAGAATTCTTTCTTTCTGTCTCCAAATGTGGTATCGTGGATGCCACGGGCAGCCGGAGCCTATAATCCTATCATCCATCAGTTTAGTTCGTCCATTTTCGCTCATGCTATTTTAACATCATATTGACATTGCCCCTCGTACATTGTTCTACTTCAGTAGGAGGTGTAATGGGAATCAGCTCTCGAACGCCTTTGACCACCTACCGGCCAAAGTTTACATTACGGTGTTTTTACTTTTTCGCAATAGCCACAGTTCCATTTTTGAGTCTCCTCCATTTTCTTAACACCTCTTTAGTGCATCAGGCGAAGGCGGAATCGCTGCTTCGCAGGTATGAGGAAGTTGGTTGCCCAAACAAAACATCTCGCACAGTACCCTCACCTAATATTACGTCTTGACTATCGGATCGCTTAGGAATACGGTTTTTCTCTGCACAGTGACCCACTGCTGCTTATTTGACCGCTCCACACTGACAATCCTTGTGTGACTGTAGGTAGTTTATCTCAGGAATTCATTTTAGCAATGAAAACTGACCAACCCTTCGAGGTAGCAATTCGTGTCCACGACGGGCGGAGAAAGTAAAAGGACATATGTAAGCCATGTCCTAATTTCCGTGAATTTCCGGGATACTCGGAATGAAAAGACAATGGCGACGTTCTGTACCCATCCTCACTTCTGATCTTGGGTCGACCATTTTCGGACCAGAATACACCTTTTAGTCAAAAGAATGCTCACAGATTTGGTGGAAGTAGTGTTTCATGCGATTAGTTCACTAAAGGCTTTTTGTGACCCTTCCATACAACAGATTTTACTTTTAGATTACAGCCCCTGAAGCTTATCACACATGCCATGTTCTTCATACGTTTCGCTGTCAACCTTGGGAATTGCGCATTCCCGTTGTGCCGCCCAGCTTCTTTTCGCTTCTTAGGTTCATATCATAGCTGGATGCTAAACCTGTACACTGAGGCAAAATACAGCCACTCGCTTCATCCCGCATGAGAGTCATGTTGCACCCCTATGTGTGCACTTGTTCGAACTACTGCTGCACTGAGCCAGTGAGCATCCGGTGGAACACATCAAGCGGTACCAAGTCAAAGCCTGTGCACGTGTGGCTGAACCCATGCTCGCCTCAGTCTGCAGTGCGTACGTATGTCAGCCTGTCCTTCAGACCTCAGTCTAATCTGCTGCGCTTAAATAGACCGGAATAGTCGCGCGACCTTCAAGCCCTTCTGTTTCTCATGCTTGTGTCAATCCACCGATTCTGTGATTTCACATCCAGGTTACGCCCACAAAATGCATTGCCGTCTTAACAGCAAACCAGACAATCACACGACTTTTGTGCAAACATTTATGGTTGCTAAGTCACTGACCTTGATCAAGGACGTCACATGAGCCGGTCTAGATTCGCCTCAAACGTCTCTCTATACAGTTCAGCATCACTACCATAGTAAGAAGCGAAATAACAGTTTTCTATCCCCGATCTCTGGACTACCGAGAACCTTAAACAAGGTTCAGTGCTATATTAACTAGTGAGTAGTTTCAATCCCGTACGAATGATGAAAAGGTCCCTTATCATGATACAAAAGCAATACAACGTATGTCATGTGAACATTTTCATCTTGTCTCCGACAGAAGCACGCTAGCAGAGGACCACGACCACACCAAGGCTGATACATAAGATGATGGCATCCTCTAGACTCCAGGTTCTGTGACGTTTGTTCGATAGCGTTGGAGGTGAAACTGAGGTGATAAAGCAAAAGCAAGTAGATTCATATGTGAAGAAGGCACCGGCTAGTGAATCGCCCATCTTCCATAACATTTGGAATGTGGTGTGCATGCCGATTCTAGTAGCTGTTTATCTAGACGATCAGCAGTCCGTATTGCAAACCATTCTCTAAACGTGTTGGGCACATTTTACTCTATTCCTTAGTTGTCCTACCTGAGAAGACAATTTGATACGCGTCGCGAACTGCATGAAAAACTTTAGTTTCCAATTCCGTCACCGATTCGTCCATTTGTGTCCTTCCACTTTGTCGAATGCCCGTTTTTGATAAACTTGAGGTTGCTCACTAATAGCTGCTGTTCACTACAGCCGACTTCCTTTACGCTTTCCCTCGTTCCAAATTTGTCCACTTGGAACGGCTTCTTAACTTGTGGCTTTGATAGCGCAGTCTCTGGATATTCCTCTTGTCTTACCGCATCCGCGTGTGCTTCCACACCGACCTGCTGTCTTCCGTATATGAGCTCCTTTACGACTGTACGAAAATTAGCATTCAGTGCAAGTTGATAGGATGCGAATTCTTCAGTTTTTTGCTGATCACCTGGTTTCCTAGATTCGAGAAATTGTCCTTGTGATGTGAACTGCTGGGTGCTAAGTCTCGATGAGTCATTTACTGCGTTGGGCCGAGTTTCAGCGTGCTGGGGTTAGGAAACTTCACTTCAGCTGTATTCTATTAGGAACTATTCATACGCCGGTCCGCGCTTACGTGTCGGCCTACTTCACTGTTGGACCCAGTGAACCAAGTCAGTCTAAGGAGTTTTCGTAACTCACTTTTTCAAAATATATTGGAGGCTAACTAACACATCAATGTGGATTTCTATCTGTATGCTGGCCCGAGATTAGAGATTTGTCCTGATATTTGTCCATGTCTTTCCTTCGGAGATCTGTCGCGTGATCGATACACACTGGAAGACATCAGTCAGCAGCTAGTGTTGCTAGCGTCAGTATGTGCACAAATCCTTCAAACACCACATGTTAAGGTTTTCCAGGAATAATGAAGGACGCTGATAGAATGCGGAGGAGACTGTTGCTTCCAAAGAAGCTGTGTATCACTGAAACCATATATAAAAAGGTTGAATCCTTGAGGTCTTCCTGAAAACATTTTTTCTGTCAGCCATCAACTCATCAATGTTAGTCCTATTTCGCTCCGAGGACTTGCGCGCTGAACCTCACTAAAATACTAAGTAAGGCCTTCGTGACACGTATCGCAGTGACCGATTTTTCTGTTTGCTGAAGTTAGCGCTTCGCTCCAACACCGGTATTGGTCACATCATCAGAGTACGTGAACTTTGTGAACTTTGAGTCTACGTACCACTCAAACCTTTTATTACAATGCACTCCTGATGCCATAGGGAATCGAGCGCTTGCTACCAAATTGCACAGCTTAGCAACCTAAATAACAGCGATCGCTACGTGCTGAACTGCTAATACTCATTTTTCAAACGTTTTGCAATACTACTACCTAAGGGAAGAATGCTCATGGTATCAGCCGCTCCTAAAACTAGTCCGTTTTTAATAAATAGCATTTGTGTCATTGTCATAGAATCCGTAGTTCTCTGGCACTATCCATCCCACTGTTTTGTTGACAGGTGAATGGGATAAACAAGCTATGCCTCGGTATAACTGAGGATATGTTGGTCTTATCATCACTATGACACTGTTATAATTGGTGTCATTGCTTTCACTGATTACACTGCAGATTTTTTTTACCGTGCGAACCGCCTCTGGTTCCGCCAATCCTCAATTAATTTGGAAGTTTGTCAGTACAAAATAGCCTTTGGAAAAGCTATATGCTATTTACGAGCGACGACCTGAGTCTATTATGCCTGTTTACCATCCTAACATCAGCGCTTATTATTTATGTACGAGCAGTTGGAGACACTGACAAACGTGGCGCTTGCCCCCTTGCATTGAGGACTATTTTGCAGCGCTCGCTCGCATCTTGTCATGAAAACTTACCGGTCTTACGTCAACTCCGCCCTCACTGTTTGCCTGTTGTGTTCATGTTCACATCATTTGTGAAGCAAACTGTCAGAGTTGTAATGTGATTGATCCTCCCAGTGAGCAGTCGAAGTTACCCCTTCATCCCAGGCCACCATAACTCATAGAGTTTTATAGAGAAACTTACCCCGTTAAGTCTCTTCACAAACACTGTTACTGACCGATTGTCTCTTTTTTACTTGTAGGAAGCTTTGATACAAAGCCTTACTGCGGGTCTGCTGGGTCCAACAACACCGGAAATGCAGCAGTTACAGCAACCTGTTGTCCAGTCGTCTTCTACCCAAGGAATGTCAAGCAGCATCAGTGCTGGCCAGATCGCCACTGGAGCTCCCGCTATCCCTATGACTGATCAACAGGCATTACTTGCTGCCAGTATGCGCGGCCAACCCCCAGTTTTAGGTGGATGTAAGTGGTGGTATCTTATTTTTCACGGGTCCCATATTTCATTCTTCCAATGTGATTTTTTGAGGCAATAACGTTTCTCTTCCATCGCGTTCTGCAATTTATCAACACCTAAAACTGAACTACGTCTTTATCTTTTCGGCTTACTGTCGTAATTGAAGAAAAGCATTGATTTCGACTTTGGTTCAGCACAATCAATTTCTCTTTAACTGCACGCATTGCCAGTCACTCACAACTGCTAACTGCACAAATTGTCCCACTTCTTCTGAACAAAATATCATTGTCCTCTTACCGATTGACCTACCTAATTGGTGGTGGTTCGCAAGTGTATCCGTTAACCTACTTTGTTTAGTCCGAGCGTGCGACATACTTACCGTGTTGCTGTTGAGAGAATGTTAAGCTTGCCTGAGCAACGTTCACAGCTGTAGTTGGATGCGGGCCGGGGGGAATACTACTACCACAGCTATGTCCGTTTTATTTGATTTAGGTGTGGGATCAGTGCATTTCAGACCGGTTCTTTGTACTTGTTCAACCTATACAGTTTTCTGTCGTGTAAGTTGGTGCATGGCTTATCGTGGGACCAATTAACTGACTAACCCACCCGCTGAACTCGCGATAGCCCAGTGGTTAAGACACGAACCTATTGATCAGAAGGTCCGTGGTTCGAACCGATCTCTACATCTTGACTGCTCCCGTCTAGGCTTGGGCAAACTGGCAATATTTCGGCTCTCGTGTTTTCTTCGGGTGGCATGGCAGCTATGCACCGATAGGGTGATACAACTAAACGATTACTAGTTCTTATTCGGCATTGATGTGTGACCGCAATGTGTACTTTCTGGTCCGCGTAGCTGACTATTCTCAATCTGTACGACCAAATGTTCGCGTTTCACATGCTTGTGTAGGTGTAGCTCAAGTGCCTCGGCGATCTTCTATCGAACCAGTCTACGCTTTTTTTTAGCAGTCTTGCGGATGGCGATTCGGAAATCACTGTCCTCATGAGGTCGTGCAGATAAAGCCCTCCAACAAGGCCGCATGTCTGAGTGTTTCACAATGTTTTCTTCCAGCACACAACTCAGTGTCACCCGTGATCAGGTGACCAACGTTTCACAGAATGTAGGTCATATCAACTGAATCGCGCGTTTACATGAGTACTAACGCGCATTCCGGATCTGCTGCTGAGTAGGGTGATTACTGGTGGCCGTTTTAAGTTCCAAGCTTTTTCCCTTCATTGCAGACGAAGCGTTGATCCAATTTACATTTGCCCTGTGTATTAGGAAACTGCGAACTCATTCCTTTATCTCTCTGATGACTGCTAGACTCTCAAAGACCAATACCACTTCATCATAGCTTCATACGAAACAATAGTCACATAAGTAGTATTACCCAACATAAATTCTTGATAGTTGTTACGACTGCAAAGTCTCAGCCTAGCTGCTTAACCACAGTGATGTGACAGACCAATTCACGAAGCGAATACCAGCTCATGTGTTGTTAAGCCTGGTTGAACTTCGATTACGATCGGGTATCTGATTGAGGGATTTTGTCGGTCGATCCGTCAGTCTGCGCTCTCATGAGTCGATGTCCACAATGTCCACTGACTTTGAATTCTGCTACTTTAGTCCACTAATGGATGCTCGATCCTTCACCCATCTTGGTTCCACTTTGTGGTCTTTGCTGTTATGACTGCGCAGACTCCAAAGCACAGAAACCCCTCTGATCTCACACCAGAGAAGATTACTGCGTGAAGCCCAGAGTTCGGGGACAGGGCTCATCCGAACACTGGCCAATAAACCGAGGCAGGAGAGGCTGGGCTCAAAAGTCAGTAGATAGGGTGCCAATTCGCTGATTAGACGTTCTGTGGTTCGAGCCCAACCCCGGTAATCTAACAATTTCTCATCCCTCGTGCTTTCATCAGGTGATGTGGCAGCTGTTCATTGAAAGTGTGATACAGCTGAACGATCATTTTCTATGATATTCTACCGTCGTGCGTTGAATGGGCACTGGATAAAGCTCATCTTGGGCCAATTTTCCTTGTCCCTGTTCAACCCCTTCACTCCTCTCTACATTGTATCTGTTATCGTATTACGAACTCTGTCTGCATGACACTTGAAGGTCGTCTGCACTCTTCATATTTCAGCGCTTGTTACCCAGTGTTGTCTGTCCTCAGAAATGGTCAGAAAGGATAGATGACAATGATTCGCTTTTGATGCGTCCCTGAAATACACGCAATTCTTACATGAACATCATTTTGTTGCCCGAATTGATGCGCCGTTTGTGCATCTAGTCACAACCAGTTTTACGACTGGCTGCGATGTAGTTTCTCGTCTCGTAATCTCACTCTCCCGGCATCTGGAGAATTTGTTCTGATACCTATGAACATGGCACACTAACCCCATGTATCTATCTAGTCGTAGATTCTGACCGCTACTTTTGTGTGGAGAATTGCCGGTTATATGGCTTGTGCGTCTGATCGATATCGTCAGTCTTGCATTCCATCTTTTTTCCTAATAGTTGATCTTTTTTCTTCAGTTGGCTCGAGTGTTCCGTTCGGCTTTGTAAGGAATGGCTGTTTGCTTTGTCTGGTGTTCGCTATCTTGTTTGAAAATCAAAAGGTGGCCTAACTGGTTATGCTATTCACTATGTCTGTAGAATGTTTATATCCACCACATGCGACGACCGATCACATAGTTTTGTTGCTGGTTCTTCCCTGATGCGTTATCTTCTCACCGGACTTTTGGTAGACATCGCCTTTGTTCAGGTCATCACGTGATGATGAATTGTTGTCGTGCGGCGAACTGGTGTATGTGATTATTGGAGTGCAGTTGTAAACAGCGGCTCAATTTTTTCACTTATCACGGTTTCGTTCAGCTAGCAACTTCATAAAAGCAGACGGATAAACTGGACCATAATGAGATATTCCTGTTCACGTTGTCGCCAACTTTGGTTGTACGACCGTGCCTGTACTTTCAGGCCATAAACGAAAATATATACAAATACGGAGATAAAGATACCGATAAACAGTGTTATCAGTGATCTAACCGATGAGTTTTCGGGAACTTTAAAGTTTCGAATGGTCGTTGTCAACGAGTCAGTAAGTTCGTAACCACGTTTCTCTAGAAGCGGACGGTTTAGATCACCTGTTCAATGATCGACATATCTGAACCCTGGTCATATATGTGGCCTTACTTTGTTTATCGTCATGCCTTTCCGATAATTTTCGTGAAAGAATCTAATCACAGACATCCCGAATTGGCTGTTGTGCGTGTCGCCACACCAGCCGCTGCCGATTGATGAGTTCTATGAGCTAAACTCTTGAACCGATAGCCTATGTTAAGATGAGGGACCGATTTCTAAAATTTGAGGAATTCACCTCCAGCCCATGAGAATTTGCCGCACCAGCTTGTTTCACCCTATTCGAGATCAGCGTGAGTCTTCCTAACACCGATGATCGACAAATTCAATCATGTTTCCACGCAAGTCATTGGTTGTCAGGGCCAAAACTTATCCCAACATCCCTTTCTCAGAGAGTCTCAGTTTGTTGTCCATATTTTCCACTCATGCCAATGGAATCTGCCTTCTCAATCAACATTTACTGGTGAATTTCATCTGCACATCTACTTGTCCGATGAAATCTTGTTGAAAATACCGTTCACGACTGTTGTGTTCTCAACTCAGGTGAAAATCGCAATTGAACTTAGAACGCATGTTGCAGTTGTCGTTGATTTGCGAATCTGTTTCCTGAGCAGAGTTAGGAACTGTGTCAAATATAAGTCGAATATCGTAGGTTTGAGCCAGGAGCCAGGCCGCCGCCTGTGGTTAGTTAATACAGGCTTCTCTGAATTCAGTATCAATAGTGCGGTTTGGATGAATGTGCGTTCTAGGTAAAACAAAAGTGAGAGATAGAGAGCAACAATTTGTAGACCAGCATGCTCACATCGGACAGCCTCATTTCGGTTTCATAACATACCAGATTGCCGTAAAAGTGAATAACGAATGTTAATTGAGAGATGGGCTTTCAGTTCTTAAATGAGATCTATTCTCAGACAATGCTTAAGAACACCATAAACGAGGGATTCAGCTGGGTATCGTGTGTCTCCCGTCAAACCCAAAGTGGTGGGCAAATGAGTGTGTTTCGCTGATATCTGTTCTTATCATACCCTTGACTTTCTTGATGGAAGTTGGAAATTTCACTTACTGGCTGTGGCTTAATTACAACGCGGTTTCTCGCTTGCCTTATTAGAAACTCACGTGGCATAATGCAGTTCTTGGGCCAAGATTTCATTTGGTTCTGACAATATGGGAGATTCGTGAGTAGTCGCGTTGTTTTGTCTAACTATTCCATTTGGTACGGAGGCTCCAGCAAGTACAAAATCATTGGTCTAAAATTAAAAAAGACGACAGACCGTCACACACTCTCTTCGTCTATATCTTTATCAGTCTCAATAATAACTGCAGGCTTCTGTAACTTTACGTTTCCGAATCGGAACATGTGATGATGATCAACAGTGATGAGGTTCATTACTTTTGTCCATCTATTCTCGTTTTCTTTCACTCACAGCGGATGTTGCATCCCAGCCTGATCTGGACGCCGCCGTAAAGGTCGAGGTAAGTGATGTATGTTTCAATATTCAGATGCTGAATTCTTGCCTGTTGCACACGATCCTTGGTCACGTATTACTTTTGAAGTTTATATGTTAGTATTGCCAAGGTCGACCATTTTGCTTCGCTTCGCAAATCTCGAATGCTGTAGCAAGCTGTAAGCACTCTGTTACTGTCAATCGGGTTTCAGGCTTGTACGTGAAAGTGCTTTGTGAACAGTGTTGCAGTGTCTAGCCTTACAATCGGGCTTGTTGTCTGAATTCCAGACACCGCACAGATGCATCCATGGCTGGGACGACTTTGGGGTACGCCAATTTGGTTACTTTTATTTTGGCCATTTCTCTTGCTGTCAGCCGTCTGCTTACGTACCTTTCCAATGACGGACAGTTTTCTATAACACCAATGCGCCAATTTATTCTGCACATTTTGCCAAGTTTGTCAACAATAATAGTGATAATTCTGGCTGTAATTACTATGAAATAATCTCACTTTATTAATAAAGTTCATTATGAGTTTTCGGAAAAACTAAGGCCAGGGAATATTGCAGTTGTTTACCTGATTTTTCAGGTACTGAGGATGAGTGTCGCAGGTGGACTTCTCGTACATCGATAGGAGCACTTAGTGTACGCGTTCTCCTGAACTAATACTATTATCCGTATTAAGTGAGATGAGTCTGTTATAACCACCGAGCAGTCACTGTTTGGGCCATGATTTGCTCAGCTGCAGCTGAGCGGAACGCGGCCAGTCCGGCTGCGGGATTGAAATTGTTCGGTTCCAAATTACTTCAATGGATCGGTCCTTCCACGTAGAGCGTGGTCCGATAGTCCTTTTGGGGAAGTCTCTGGTACTGATAGGTCAACTCATGAAGATGTTTGAGGTTTTGTAGCTCGCGAGCCTTATATTGGGTGTGTGGTTGAGCACCGTTCGATACCGACACTCTGGGTTCCGCGGTTTGCAGTGGTAGCCGCTTGTCGGCGCCACTCTTCCTTGCCTACACCCATTTGACGTCCTTGAACTTCACGTTATCGACGACAACACCGTCTCTGGCTGCATCAGCGTATGTCCAGGTCATTTACTAACATCCTCGCGGAGCGTCAACCGAATATACGTCTATTTGGGCCACAGTAACCAAAAGCAGTCCTGGAAAGGAATTGCTTGCAGTGATCATACAAACAGGGCACTAACAACTGACTTCACAAAGTCCAAATGAATTGACAGCAGAAGTAGTTGCAGGTGAAGCGACGACCCATGTCGGCGAAACTTAGCTGGTTTATTCACTGGATATCACTTCTGCAATATTGCCGACGTCCAAGCCACTGGTGCAAAATGTTTTATTTGTTCATTGAACTGAAGTTAATATTTTCGCCTTTTGTTTAAAGCAAGTCAATAAAGCTAAATTTATGTTTTTTTTTATCCGTCTTACTTGAAACTGTGAGAGGAAATTTTGTACGTATAAGGTTGAAAGCTTGTATGATCCACACGGATATGTTTCTGAGAAGCTCATAGTGTGAGAGGAAATTTTGTACGTATAGAGTTGAAAGCTTGTATGATCCACACGGATATGTTTCTGAGAAGCTCATAGTTCCGGCCGCTCCTGGCGGCACATGCTTTTCCGAGGATTATGTCAATCATCTGCGTAATTTGACATAAACGTTGTAACGCACATCTTGCCGAAGTTGCCCGTTCATATTCCCTTCAGGATTCCCAGCAAAGATACGCCGTGCTTCGGGTCGAGTTCTGACGTGCATGGTGATTTCTGTAGAGTAGAACTTTACCAATTCACCGTTTAAGAAATATCTGCTGAGTTCAGCATTGTCCGGGCGGAAACACTTCCTCCTTGCCTATCTGTCTGTCGTAATTGCCATTGTCTTCTGTTGGCGTGGTGAGTAATTAAGCTATGAGCCGCTCAAAACACAGAGTCTAGACATCGTGAAAGTGAAAAGCCACTTTGGCCTTCTTTTTTCAGACTAAACAGTCTAGAATAGTTATAAAAGGATGTTTTACCATCTACCGCGTAAACAGTGGTGAAACTCACTGAATATCCATGTGTTACCCACAGTGAGCAGTGGTATCCCATGCTTCCATCCTGCATGGCAGTACCCGGTGAGACAGTGCTCATTAGAACACAAATGCGTGAATTGCAAGTTTAAATGAGTTATATTACCGGCACCACGCATTAAAGATTGGCGGAATGAGAAGTCAACAGGTCAAGTGCACTATCACGAGGTGAATTTTCAGTGTATGAAATTATATGGGTTTTTGACCGTCTGTTAGAGAGCTACTATAAACCAGACATTGGGTTAAGTAGGCGATGAAGGGTTGCCTCAGCAATCCCTGTCACCTTGTCGTAGCGGTGGGGCTTCTGTGCTGCAATGATCCTGCGGCCTATACTGGTTGGAACTCAGTTCCTAAATGTTCAACCATGCCAGGAAGACCAACATGGAGTAGCCCGACAAAGAACAGTGAGAGTATCGAGAGTATCTCCTCGTATTGAGAGTAATCGTATTACGAGGCAGTCTGGAGGTAAGATCGTACTGTCCTCTGCGATAGAAGTGTGAATGCAGTAAGGCGTTTCCCCCAGGCGACCAACATATCCATATTTATGGAAACGGTGATGCTGCCTTCCCGCGAGGAAGGACGGGTTAGAAAAGGTCGGCCTCAAAAACTGCACACTCCGATCGCACACCTATCTCAACTATCGCCCGGAAAAATAAACCAAAATACTCACCTACTAATCTCAAAAGATCTGATCCACGATGCAGCCTTCTATGTCCGTACTCTTTTCAAATTGGACAAAAGGCATCCCTTTCTGAAACCTTACTTTCCTTCTCCGTCGATTTATGTTGCTTCTCCGAAACACGCATATAGGACCTCATTTCGATCGTGCTCCTCAAGCCGCTTAGAACAAGCCCAAATGTTCCATATTTCATTCTTCGGGCATCCGGTGATCCTTACGCAACGGCTCATGGTATCTACGGTGTGGGAGCTTCACTCAACCCCAAGGCCGAAAGCGCCTTGCTGGACTGGATCCCAGCAAACAGTCGCCTTTGTGCTGTCTGTCTCAATGTAGATTAACGCAAGTCGATGTGGTTAACGTTATTTGTTTGCCGCATCATCATACCCCCCAACAGGTAGCAGTCATGTGACTGAGAAGAACGAGGTTAATCAAGATCTGTCACGACTGCTTCGGTCGGCAAGAAGGACGGATACGGTAATCCTAACGGGTGATATAAATACCCAAGTTGGACGACTAACTCCTGAAGAAGTACGGTTTGGCGGTCGATTTAGAGTCGATGCTTGGCGTATGGATAATGGAGAGTGGCTTCTTCAGCTGTGTGCAGAGCGTCGCCTGTACCTGACCAGTACGTACTTCCAACACAAGCGCGCACACCGAGTCATTTGGAGGCCACCTACCACAAGACAGTCGTGGACTCACTTGGACCATTTGGCTATCAGTTACCGATGGAGAGCCTCAGTTAAGGATTGTCGTTCCTTCTGGGGTACGCAACTGGACTCCGATCACGCCATCGTGCGGACCCGGTCAGCACTTCGCTTTCCGCCAGCACTATGCGTGCCGAAAGAGAGCAGCTCCGTTCTTCAACTTCAACACGTTTCAATAGCTGAAGAATACCGAGCTGATCTGGCTATAAAGCTATGGGAAACGCAGTCATGTGGGCCACGAAGATCGCTTGGAGGATGAATGGAGACGGGTTAAAGAAGCAATGATGTCAGCTTTCAGAACTGTTTGTCCAACCCAGCTGACTCCACTCAATGAACACTGGACATCTTCGAGATCAGCGGGTTTTATTGCTGCCAGGAAGGCCATACCAGCAACTAGTGACTATGATGGTGCACGCAGATCCCTCAAAAACAGAATAATCAGAAGTTTGAATAATGACAGAAAACACTGGTGAATTTCGAAGGCCCAGGAGACGGAGAGAGCTTTCGCTGCAGGCAACAGCCTTGCCCTGTGGTCCGATCAACGGGTCAAAAGAAGGCAGATGTCAGTGATACAACATGCGAAAAAGACGGACAGCAATTCACTCCATCAATCGCCGTCTTGAGCGGTGGGCTGAGCACTCCCGGGTACAGTTCACCTGATCTCCTTCAACATAACCACTGGAAGAACCAAGCGGGCCCGAATGAAACAGTGGCACCAACCCACCATCTGCAACCGAACTCCAGCGTGAGATTTCAATCCTGAAGCGCGACAAGGCACCTGGCCCGGATTCTCTACACCCCACGCTCTTCAAAGAAGGTGGGGAGGTCCTGGTGAACAGTCTGGCAACCATACTGCAGAAGATGTGGAACAACAACAGAATACCAGCTTACTGGAGCTCCTCGACCGTCATTCCAGTTTTCAAAAAGGGGGCAAGAACGTCATGTGCAAATCGTCGTGTTATTAGCCTGGCTTCCGTCGCATCTAAGGTGCATTATTTTGGGCAGGTTGATGGATTATCGGGAAAGACAGATTCGTGAGAATCAGGTTGGGTTTCGCCCTGGTCGAGGATGCATCGACCATATCTTTACCTTTGGACAAATTCTTGAACAGTGCCACTCCTTCAGACGTCCCTTTTTGGTAGCTTTTCTGGATTTGAAAGCTGCTTTTGATTCTGTCATTCGTCAGCAACTTTGACAGTGTCTGTCAACCAAAGTGTCCCTTCCGAGTTTCTCTTCTTTATGAGGGCACTCCATGCGAACTCTTGTGGGCGCGTGCGACTATATGGGAAGCTTTCGCCTGAGTTCACCACGTCCATTGGTGTAAGACAAGGTGGTCGTCTTTCCCCTTTCCTCTTCAACTTTGTTATTGATATGCTGCTTGAAATTTCTCTGCCTGCCTCCGAAACCTCGGGAGCCGAAATGCTCCCAGGACGTCCCTTCACAGACATTTAGTATGCAGACAATATTGCTCCTTTTGGTTCAGATCCTTCCCGAATGCAAACGATTTTAAATGGCCTAAATGACTCTGACGCACTGTTTGGCATGTGCTTCACTCCTGTAAAGTTTAAAGTGCTGCTACAAGACTGTGTGGGATCAAACCCATACCTCATGCTTGCAGACGAAATAATCGACGTGGTCGATAAATTTGTTTACCCGGGCAGCTGTATAAGTTCTGGTGTACCGGCTGGAGATGAGATTATTTATCGAATCGGAAAAACCAGGGCAGCTTTTGCCACCCTCCGACACTTATTGCGCCTACGTGACGTGCGCTTACCTGTTAAGGGAAGAGTTTACGCTGTGGCAGTGCGATCCATACTGCTTTATAGATCCGAGACCTGGCCCCTACGCGCTGAGGAAGATGTCAGCGTTTGGTCATCGGTGTCTCGGTAGCATTGATTAGGTCTGGTGGGAGCACCGGATTGGTAATGCTGAGGTTCGCCAGATGGTAATAGGAAGAAAGAACTCTCCCGCGATAGATGATTTACTCACGCTTAATAGGTTGCGCTGGCTGGGACGCGTACTCCGCATGCCAGAAGACCGTCTGCTTCACAGAGCTCATTTCTCCAGCCCTGTCCACCGAGAGATGGACAGTGTATGACCTGGCAACGAAGTACTAAAACACTAACCAGTAAACCTAGTCGGATAGGTAACTGCCGCTTCCCTGGATGGGGACCCCGAGACTCATATCACCAGTAGTTAATGACATTGACGGAAATGGCCCAATCGCGCAGTCAGTGGCGCTCGTGCATCAAAGCCATCACCTTCAGTGCGTAGCTACCCAATTTCCGAACAAACTGATCATGACTTCGCCTTCAAGGCTTGGTTGTGTGTTTCACTTTTCTGTTTTCCGGTGATCGAACCTGTAGCAGCTGGATCGAATGTGCCTATGGCACACGGTTTATAGCTGGTAAATTGAATTGAAATGAAAACAAAATACCGATCTTTCAACCTCGGTAAAGGTGAACTCAACATGAGAAGATTATTTGAGATTACTTGAGATAGCTATTCCCAAGCGGTATGCCATCGTGAGAATCAGAACCTAACACCATGAATGATTTTATCAAGTGGCGAATTAACTGGGTTACGCACTAACTGAGCGACAAGCTACCTGGAGGCGTTGGAGAGCGTAGTTTGCTTACCAACCGCAAGAAAGGGCTTCAGCAAGAAAAAGGCTGCGCATGGATGAATCAATGTGACCTACTAATCACCATCCCTACTCGAATCCGCCTACCAAATTTTCACACTGAATGTGGGGTCTTATCCACGATTTGTCGTGCACTACACTGCCCAATTAAGAATTTTCTTCTGTCATCATGATTACACACACTCGACAATTCATGACGTCAGTGACTCGTGATCGATGCACACGCTTAGTGCTTGAACATGCTATGGTGTTTGAAGTGATGGTTCTCCAGTGTTCTTCCTGTCACTGTCAAGCTGAGCAGTCTTCATGAACGTCACATTTACTGACTAGCAACGAATAGTTTTCAGCAGTGTTCTGTTCAAAAAGATGTATCCTCGTTTTTTAGGCATCTGCCTGATAGGTGAACGATTGCTGTCAGTATATTGTTCTGTTTGCCTATCTATCGTAAGGGTATTTTGCCAATTCAGCACTGTTGTTGTGAACAGAAATAATAGTGTGGTGCTCTGCAAAAGAATACGAAGCCGCTGAACAATTATTTAACTTTCTCAAATAGAATGCACAAAAACTTGATCTATGTGCGGAAAAATTGAAATCGCTTGCGAGGAATAGCTCCTAACTGGGGCCTGGGATATCGAATGGACCTCTGCTTTTTAAACGTGCTCTGCCACGTTTCTTGTTGGCTCAAGATTCAACTTGTCTGTAAAACTATTTCGTGATACGAGGTTTTTTAAAATTTCTATTTGACGTTTGGGTGATCGGAGACTGAGTTCGGTCCCCCGTTTGGTGGCAAGCAGATAAATTAGTTGTGTTCGCACCTTGACTACAGTGCTGTTCGCTAAAAGCGTACGCCTGAGGGCGAACTCCTCTTTAATGGCCCCTGACTGCCCGTGAAGAACACTACTTCGTGCACATTCCGGCACTTGTGGATGATATCCAGTTAACATCCTGTTGATGTCAATTACCCATCGTTTCGTGCATAATGTCCTCTATCTTCTGGCGAGATACCACTGTTTGCTATGTTAATGGGTGGCTCAACTGAATTTCAGCTGCATCTTGTTTATGACATCCTTTAGATGAAAGTATAGCACAGAGGTAGCCTCCTGTTTCAACTGAGATATCGCAGCATACTTGTGAACCTGCGTCACCTGTGGCGTAGACGTGACAACCTGACCGCCAGGGGTCGAGTTTACACTTCTGCGGTGTGCTCTATATTACTATGCGGGTCAGAAACCTGGCCGCTGCGCTCTGAGGACATGAAAAGACTTTCAGTGTTCGACCATCGATGTCTTCGGGGCATTGCCCAAGTCTGGTTGGAACACCAGATCAGCAATGCTGAAGTACGTCCAATGGTATTGGGGAGAAATAAATCACTCTAAGTAGGTGAACTGATTACACTGCGTTGGTTTCTGTGACTTGGCCACGTGCTGCGTATGCCAGTCGACCGATTTCCTCGAAAAGTTCTTTTCGCACGACTACTTGAAAAATGGAAACGAGCCAGAGGAGGTTAAACAATGACCTGCCAGCCAAGTATAAAAGCTATCACCAGCAAACTCAGCTGCACTAATCATTGCAATCTTCCTGGATGAGGACGTCGGGACGGAACACATCAGTGGTTGGAGACATTGCCCAGTCGCGCCGTCATTGGCGCTCATGCATCCAAGCTATTGCCTTCAATGCGTAGCTTCCTTCCCCCCCCACTTGACAGTCCTGCATTTACGCACCAATTTATGACCTCTGGCCTCCAATGCGCAGCCATCTACCCCACCTCCCCAAATCATCGGTGAACGAAAGTGTGACAGCTACAACCACTGTACGACAAGTACGCGGTTCTTATAGCTAATAATAATAATGATGGTGATCATGATGATGCAGTATATTTTCTCGGCGGTACACACTATCCACGTGGTTTCCAAAAAATCTTTGACAGCCCACAACGTTTTTCATCACTTTTGAGGCTCATCAATAGGGTACAGTGTTCGAGTTTCCTCCAGCCTTGTGTTCTGTTGGAAACCAGTTTGCACCAAATCCGACGAAAATTCATTTTCAAATTGGGCCGGTGGTCAACTATAACATGAGGCTTACGGAAACTTCCTGATGAACTTCAAGAAGGGCGAAACAGGTCACGGGCTGACGAAGAGTTTTCAGCAACGATATGACTGGTCTATCCTCCGTCTTCGTTCGTACTGGTATTGGCACTCTTTCTAGACTGACACCTGCTACAAGAACTCGCAGTTTTTGTGTGCCTTTTACTCAAAAGCCGTACAAATATTCAGAAGCTCGAGAGACACATATGACCGCACCTTACTGCTCTTCAGTGCAGTGTGGTTCCGTTTCGGATTCTGCTTGAATCGATTTATCCAGGCCGCCGATTTGTTGTTGTTTATCCTTGCACATGCGCACACCTATGTGCCCTCTGTCAATCAAGTTGATGCGTGTAAGACGTACGCAGTGCCCTGATTCGTCCGCATGACCTCATCTTAGTGTAGCATACCAATGCTTCGCTTGTCCAACGCGGCAATCATTGTTAATTTTCTATAGTACTACTATTCTTGCATACACGCTCAGTCCACTTCTACTTACCATTGAAAGCGGTCTCTTCTTGCTGCTTTTGAAATTACTGAAACAGATGAAAGGTGATCTAACGCAGTAGTTTTGGTCATCCATATATCAATTCAACTGGACGCCTTCTCCATCTCCGTTTATTATCATTTCTTAGGGAATGTGTCCGATGGGAAGAGACCTTTTTCACCCGGGTTTCTTTCGTTACTGCTAATGGCGTACTTACTTTAGGAGCTATCTTTGCAGTACTTTATTCCCAGTATCATTTTTTGATGTATCAGTTGTGACCGCTTGAAGAGGGCGACCAAAAACCTTCTGTTCGGGGAAATCTGTAGGGAATTAGTCGAAAGGGCACTGATCTCTCGAGTGGAGGACAACCGTGTTAAAAGTTGTAATTAAATGCGACCTAGATTCTTTTTTTCCTGGTCCATCCTCCACGGTTTACGTTTTCCTTTCGACTTGAAGTCTTGACTTCTCGCACCGAATGCGAAGAACTGCGAACATTAAGTAGACAATTTACTAGACCTAATTGTTTTATTTCAGGTGCCAGCTTGAGCATAAAGCGCAAGCATGAAAGCAGTATTTTTACCATGTGGCCCCTTGCGTTTTTTTCCGCATACGTTTTCTGTTGACATCCGTTTGGACAATGTGTGACTGATGCGGACACTAATCAAATACCAATCAATCCAAGTTTAACAGTTGCAAGTTTATTTTCACCCGTCCGCGTGATTTTTTTTTAAAAAAAGTTTCCCTCTTTCATGCAGTCTGTTCGGCACGATGCAGGTCAACCTTCCGTTTTGCTGAATCAGCTGACAGAAGCTTTGCTCGGTGTGGCCACTGGCACAGCTGGAACCCCGACATCTGCATTTGGATTACAGCCAACTCAACAACAAGCTTTGTTGCAGACTCTTATCAATCAACAAGCTGGGCAACAACAACAGCTTGCTCAGTTGGGTTCTGCTGCGTCCACCAAGGTAGATTGCCTAGCCTTGTGATGTTTGATTGTATTTGCAACTCTGGAAAGGCTATGATTTTTTGTCAGCTGACCAGCGTTTGTTGCTGTTTTTCCCAAAACCGCTTGTAGATTATCAGCCAGCCCACAGGGTACATACGGTGTTTAGCTTCCGGTGGGAGGAAGGTGTTCATTTTTGCTTATTTTGTTAGTGTACTATTTTCTTCATAGACGTCTGTACGCGCGCCACCGGTTAATTCCGGCGTTTCATCGATACACGCTTACAGTCATGTACTTAGAGCTAAATTGGGTTGTGTTAGCCGCACCCGGTTTGATTGTCTCCATTGGCTTATAGGCATCGACTCGTTGTACCAAACCTGTACTTTAAGGGCGTGTGAGAGAAGTGACACCGGTGCCCGTCATATATTTATTTACCACCGTCCATCTTGCTTAGAAAACCAGTGAAGCGCGTAGCAGTACCACAATCCCGAACGTCACTTTCGGCTACCCATCAATTGCATGAACAGTGTTCGAAATTTTGTACGCAATACATTTCACCCATGTGTCTACTTAATGGTAGCTAATAAATCGAGTTCGTTTTTGAAGCGGTCTAGTTGTTGGGGCGATTCAGAATCACTGGTATAAACTCCGCAGCTCGTTTTAATTACCACATCGAACGTTTTTAACTATGCTTTTCCTTGTTCAAGTCGTTAATTTCCTTATTGCTTCTTTTTCTGTTCCCTGTCTCATTCATGTAACTTTCGATATGCTACTCATGTTTCGTGGCGCTTTATTGCTTCGCTTTTATTCGATCGTGTGCACGTGATTCTTTCCACTTCAGCAGCCTTCTCTTCAGAATACATCCGTTTTCGAAACAGGGACTAAGCTACAACATCCCGTCCGACAGTCATCATATCTATCAGTTGACCACCACTCGTACCCGTGCGCTAAGTCTGGCCGCCTGTCACAGCTCCCCGTTAATGAGACAGCGTGGTACGGGAGTGATGGTTGCTTGGTTTTGGCGTCGAAACGCCGAGCAATGAACAAATTCAGACGTCAGTGCGATACAGCTGCTACACAACAAGCTGTTGGTTCTTCTGCTGGTCCGCGAAACGGAACGGTTCCAGCTCAAGACCCATGTATATGTCGCACGACTACGCATAAATTACACAGCCCTATGAGTCCGCTTGTCAGACTTAAGGCATCGATGAGGCGTCATTCATCCCTCGATCCGTCAATGAGTATGGGTCACCGTCGTGATTCCATTCCTCAAGTCGCCCTAAATTCCATGACTTCTATTCTGTCTCCCCTATTAACCAACCTCTTTCCGAAACCTAGTCGGAAGCCGTCGGTTCCCGATGTGAGTAACTCTGCAGTAGGTTATCGTATGCCTTCAAGAAGTTGATAAGCCACTTCCTTTAATGGGCAGTAAAGCTTGATCAACATCCGGCCTAATTACTTGATTGCAACGACGCATTTTTAATGAGCAATGAAATTACCTCACTTCCGTTCCCGGTCGTGAGGTTATTCTTCTCCGTGGTTTACAATTTGCGTACCAATGCGTTCTGTCTGGTATTCCCCACAGTTGCACTGATTTGTGCTGTTGCTTCCTCAGTTATAGCGTGGCCTGTATGCACTTTGTTTTGTCATTTTGTACCTTTTTCTGTTATCTCGGAGCAAATGTTCGTGACAGCCTACCAACTCACCTTTACGGGTAAAGCTTGCTCGATTCAGAAATGATCTTGTGATTGCATCACTGCAGTCTGCAAATGAACGCCAGATGTATGCAATGTCGGTACTCGTATTTTTATCCTAATTTCTCCGCTTACCAAGTCCATAGACACATTTTCGAGTTTCGGTGAGCTTTTGCAAGATTCTAGTTAGAACAAAGAAATTCCCATTATGCCAGGTTAGTGAGTGTCACAAAGATGGCGCACTACGTTACCTTATCTAACCGGCCTTGGTTACCGGTTGCTTATCCGTCTACCGAGCGTTGTAATTGTTCTGCAAGGCGTTCTGTCATCAATGGATAAAACAAAACCGATGAGACTGGTGATGTCCAGATGAATTTAGTTCAAATATTCGAGCATATTGCATGCCGTTGATTCTCTTTGTAATGTTATAGTTCGATTTGATCCTATCCATTCCTACTCCTAATTAGCAGCGTCCCCCTCATTTTTATGAAACTATCCCCATGGGTGTTGATGATTTTGACATCGTTCATAACTTAACAGACATTCTTCTATTGACATGGACTTCTACACTCCTTCATCTTTTTCGTACTCTTGCTACAGCTTAGACGTGTTATCGCTCAAACAAAGGTTACTGGACTTCATTCTGATGCACACCAATAGATACCGTAAGCAATGCTACTGCTTACTATCCCTATCTTGGCTAACTGATCGATGCCCGCTGCAGCTTCACAGAATCTAGACAAAAGAACTCACGGTGGCCAGTAAAGTGATAAAAGATCGGCTGTGGCATTCTTTTGGTGCTTGGCTATCATGTACAAGGACTGTTTGTTGTAGCTTTGCTTGCCTCTAGCTCATCAAACTGATGGTCACCCTTAACGTAAGCTGACGGACTTCTTTGACACTGTTCTTTTACAACGAAGACTTAGTTTACTTATTACTCGGTTTGAATTACCAAGAAGATGTGCTCATCAAAAAAATCGTTCAGCTGCAACACCCTTCCGGTCCCTAGCTGCCACGCCACCTGAAGGAAGCACAAGGGCTGGGGTACTGCCAGGTTACCCAAACCTAGACAGGGGAAGTCGAGAGACCGAAGTCGGGTTCAAACCACGGACCCTCCGGTTAGTAAATTCGCGCTCCAACCACTTGAGCCATCTCGCCCCGTATGCTCATCAAACAAGCTATAGTCTGAGCCACGAGTTCCGGCTCCACGTGGCTATCCCGCCAAGTTCGTGGTCACGTCATGCGTCTATTGGAAGGAAGGTGAGTAATGGTATCCCCGGATTCATGTGATACTGAACTAATTGGTCAACCTCTAAACACGAACCACGAGAGAGTGGGTGCACTCCACTTCTTTGGGCCGGTTGGATGGCGGAAAAAGAAGACATGTGTTGGTTAAGTGTCTAATCGATGCAACTCAGACCGTGCCTTGCCAGCATCCAACGCTCCAGCAATTCGCTTGCGCGAGTTAGTTCTTTTGCACACTCGATCCAGAAGGGTCATTGTGCCACTGAGTATAACAGTACATGAGATCGCTCATGAGAAAGGTCGATAGACAGAGTGACATATTCTAACTAGAACTGTTCATAACAGTTAAACTGAACACCAAGCAGGCTATTGTATTAGGTTCCGTGCACTGTCTGCCAAAATATCTAACCACAAACATTCACTGTCTTTTGGACTCACCCGGGATGATCCAGACGAGGGTAACTTGACTTACCTATTTTTTGCATCATGTCACGTTGTTAAATCTGCTCCACAACGCTTCAACTGGTTCGGATCGAGTAAAACAAGATGAGTACTTTGGGGTAGTCAATGAGGCTGTATTCTCAAGACATCGACAGGCCGATGGAGCTGATTGCGATAAACTGCGTGGTTTAGACATGAATTTCTGCCGCCATGTAATATTTTCGCATTGATTGTGTTGCTACCACCAGACACTCGGAACGATTCCGTAGGTGGTGGTGATAAAATTTGCAGTCACTTAAACTTTTCCAGTCCGTCCTAGTAAATCGGAAGAATGTGGTTGCTGGTCAGAACGGCAGCGGTTCGCACGGGATGTCAGTGAGACCTACATGCTGCTGATTGGCCACCCGAAGAAGACAACCAAGTCAATTCAATAAACGTCCCGACCATTGTTCTCATCTTTTTTACTTCATTTATTCTGCAAGTGCATGAGTCTGAGGATGATTTTTTCGACAACTATTCGTTGTCCACCTTTTTTCTGTCGGCTTTATCTGGTATGAAGTTTCCTCATTTTTCTACATCTGTCCTCTCCGTTGAATACTATGATTTTACGATGTTTTCGAACCGACCTTACCGATAATCACTTTGTGGAACTTTGGCACCGTGATGTGCTCTATCTATACTTTGTTCGATCCCTTCCTATAATTGAGGATAATATTAACAAAATTGAAGAGCAAACTTCTCTATGGAGTTTCTTTTTTAAGAGGAAATCTCTGTGCTAATTCTAATCGATTTATCTAGTGGCCCTTGGAATAAGAGATGAGAGTGTGGTGACCAACAGTGTTGGTCCACACGCAGATGGCCAAATCGGATTCTACTTCGCTTGATATGAACAAGTCCTCCAACTGTGCCCACTAAGCGCAAGATCATGAAGCCGCTGAGTAACACAAAAGATTTTGTCCTGATTTTTCCTATATAATGGTTACCAAACAAAGTCATACTTCACATCCGCTTCTATGAACAATTCCTTCAGTAATGACCTTTTGAGGCATTTGACTTTCGCGGTATCGAGTCGCCTGTTGCCTTGTAAACAGGGGATTGGGTTTAAACTGCCAGCGATCTTCGAACGCATTCCCACTACAATACGTTTATTCTCGAGTATATGAAGGAAAAAGTGCGAAACAGCAATGTACAAACTGGCGATTTGAACGAACAAACGGAAGCCAAATAGCTGTCATCTAGGGTTCCGTATGCAGAACACATTACACACCGTTATGTTCTGCATGTGTCCTGATAAAACTGCTCTAGATCATGCTTGTTCAGCTTAGATGGTGAGAAAGCAAATTGTAGCTCTTCAAAAACCGTCCTCGTCCTACCGATAACTATCCTTAAACTTGTTTTTCACAAGCTCCGCTCATACCTGTAGTATTAGCTTACCCCCTATCTGGGACGGTCAACGTATTGAAACTGACTTTGCACCCTTCATGTTCCGTATTGCCATGGTTCGCTCAGTTCCCGGAAAGCAGTATCAACCCAAGCCTGCCATTTGCAATATCGGTATGTTGTTCGATCGTCTTTTTTCGCTCAAATTGGCAAGCGTGTCGCAATGCGTTGAAACAAACCGACTATCTACGACATGTCCTATTACGCGAAGTGCCCGGGAACCCTCCTTACACCACTCAAAACCATTTTGCATATTCTGCGTGCACTTTTTCAAGCGTTTCAGCCTTTTCGTTAATACTTATGCATGTTCCATTCTATCCCCCAGTGTGATTTGGTGCAGTCAAACCGTTTCGTTGTTTCTATTCGATTTTTGATTGCATGTGCTGGTGGTGGTGTTGGATCGATTGACTGTCATTAACTGTTTGTTTGTTCTGGTCAGCACCGTAAATGGCGTCTAATTGCAGTCCGGCAGCGAATCGTGTCACTAGTTGTGATAAATGTGACGAATTTTCCAGTCTGCTTTTTTAAGCTGCCATCTTCGTTTGCGTGGTTTCGCTCAGCTCCCAGTCGTTTGTTACTAATGCGGAGCTCAACACTGGCATTCGACTACATAAAGCCTTTCCAGTTTGTCTCACAACCCTTAGCTACTGCGTTTGTCGTAGTGATTGGCTCTCAATACCGCGATAGTTTGGTTTTACTCCTCTCCTGGGACCACTATATAATCCACAGGAGGCAGTCAGTCAAAGGCCGGTAATCTAGAGGCCTTAGCGTTGGAAAATAAATTGTGCCCCTTTAAAAAGACTCTGTTGCTTATCACCGGAGAAGGACCAATTACAGGAACGTTGACTGAAAGACGGCATCTGTCTGGCAGTGACAGATGAGTATCTTTCAACATGGCTGAAGTAATACAGTGTCTGTAGTCACCTGCGCACTAGCAGATGACCTCACACTATCAGTGTTCTCCCGACGAATATCGGGTCATTAGCTCCAAACACAGAAAACCGTGGCGGCTATCTTGTCAACTACCTGTGTCATCATCTACGGCTATGGTGCAAGGCGTATTATTTCGGGGAATTCTCGGACATATTTCTTGGTTCCAGATTTTCCAAATTTTCGGCCCTTTGGATGTATAAACAACTGTGTAGATCATTTTCTGATTCCGCTAATTCCAAGACTCTGCTTGCATCGAAGTTTGAGTTCCACTGTATGCAACGGATATACGGCAAAGCCTCACAACCACCTCAGATTGAGCCACTCATGCGCGCTAATCGGGGAGTCTCAGTTTTTGGGTCCTCCGGATTACTTCCCAACCTTGATGTTGATATCGAATCCGTAGTGACGAGCTACTACAAGTGGTTTTCGGAAGAATCCATCTTGATCCCCTTGCAAGGGACTTTGGGATTAGATGCGATGTACGCATTTGTAGGTTTCCCTGCGCTACAAAACTGGTCAATCGTCGTCAGCAACTCTGTTGTAAAGCACCGGTATGCGATTGTAATGGGGAATCGTCCACGCGCAATTTAACAATTTAGTCCACTCACCGGATGCGCACCCTTGGACGAATGACTAATTTGTCAGTCTGACCTGTCGATATAGTTCAGTTACTGTCTCCACCATAGTTGCTGTCCTGAAAGCATAACTGTTTTGGCCTCTGTACTACCCAAAGCTCACTGTCTTCCTTCTGACACTACATCGCGCAACCTGTCAGTATCATTGCATTGTTTTCTATTCCTATATCGCCTTTTAACACCTGACAATACTGTTTCTCGGCACATGGTTTGTAGAAGACTTTGAACTAGTGGGTCTACCACTACCCTCTAACTGTAGCACTACTTCCATGTAAAATCAGCCGGCCCAAGGGTGTTGTTCAGGGTTTTGCGGTGTGCCAACTCTGCAGGGTTGATATTTTCCTGAAATCGACCATAAATCGGACTTCAGGCAAGCTCGACGAATTGAGGAAAATGAGAACGACGTGTTTTTTCAACTTGACGGAGAAAATACTACTCAGCAAGAAGGTCTTTTATGAAGAAAGTGACACGTCAGTGTATCCCTCCAGTCCTAAATCGGACTGGTTTACTTACCTAGCAGCCCTACTAGCACGTGTTGGGTAAAAATTGGAGTTGCCATTAATTCCGCTTTTATGCGAATCTTCTTATCGTATATTGACGGATTACTCGCCTGTTCGTTCTTCATCACCAGCAAAGCGACCGAAAGTTACGCAAGAAATCCAAGCCCAAACCGCGCTTCATCCTGCGCATGACTAAAATAGAAAAGGATTCGGAGGGCAGTGAACCAGGTTCATTTCGTCCCACGTTTTACTTGGAGATGCCGGACTTGAGTAATCCGAACAGTGAAGTGTGGAAGTTCAGCTTTCGCTGCAACCTTTCCGATACACCGGATGACATCAAGCTGGTTAGTGTTTTTCTTGTCGGGCTTTTCCAAAGTATATTTCTCTTTTTTCCGGTCTTCCATACGCGCATAAATTTATATAACTGGAATTTGAACCCTGGTTAGATGCACCAAGAATTAACCGGGTTCCTACTGTGTTTTTCCGCTCAATTCTCCGACTAAAGCTACCTCCGGAATGCGTGATGTTTGGATCCCACTGCCATTGTACGGGACCTTTGTGTGCATTGCTGGAGAGTTATGCGGTGGATATTGGAATTTGATTGTCGCCTTTTTACTACTCTGTTTTTTCCTCTATAATCGGTCATCGAACAAAGCTGAAAGCGACTTTTACTCCCATTGTTCTTGATGGACAGTCAGCAGATGATGTATGACTTCCAGTTTGTGTTGAATATTGTTGAAAATTATTTACAGCGATACAATCCCAGTAATCCAACTGCTGGTGAGTAGTCACATTGTTCTGTCCCGTATTCATCCTTCTTCGCAAAGCTCCCAATGCTCGCTAAACCATGTGTTCGAAATTTAACCGGATGTTCATAGTAGGGGTGTGGTTAGATACTGAAAAACTCAGCCACATGGGGCCTTCCATCCTTCACCTTTGTTCGGATTGTGTGAATAGTCAACAGCTGATTTGGCAAAGGCTCATACATCATCCGAATTCGCCAATTGTGTAGACCAACAGCTTGAAGCTGTTGCGCTAACTGGTCGCATTGCGGATCCTATTACCGCCATCCGCTTTTCACAATCCGGTCCTATCTTTACTATAATCCCATTCTATACTTTTCGGCGCTCTTATATGGTCATCACTCCGTTTTACTCGTCACTTTTCGCCAGTTAGCATGAATCGCATGCTGTTTTGCGAGTTTTCCAGCTGACTACGTTCATAATCCATTATCGTCACAGTTCTATGGCACAGTTCTAGCCTAGTTCAGATGTTCCATGCATAATCAAAGCGGGAACTTAGCAAGGACGGCTCACGCTATTTCCCTAAATTCTGTTTTTTTTTACATGGTTCTCCACCTGTGTTTTTTACTCATGTTGTTAGTTGACTTCTGTTCAGTTAACAGCGAAGTAATCAACTACTACGTGATTAAGATTTTGCACATTGCCTCTTCACAAACTGTAACCCACTATTCTGCTTCGGTATGTTGACTCAGTCTTCAGCATTTCGTGCCATGTAACTCCACAGTTCACTATATTCATCGGTTCTGTTGAACATATGTAACGTCTGCTTCATTGTAGTTCAAAGGCTCTGGTTACACAGCGACTAACGAAGAGGTGGAAAGAGCTGCCAAGGAAGCTGTCGTCCAGATGTTAGAATCATTGCGTGCGGACGTCAGTTCGGTCAAACTCAATCAAGATTACGTCTTCTATCCTCGTTCACATTCTTCTACAAACCCGAGCTTCCCTCCTGTTCCGTTGTCTGAACCGTCGTCCATAGCGTCTTCCCATGTGGCTGCGGGTCTTCCGGTGACCGCCAAGTCTTCTCAAACGTCTCTGAGTATACCCAGCTTGACCTCACGTAGTGTGGCTTCGCAGCAGCTGGGTACTGTTCCCCAAGCCACCGCCATAGTCGCGTCAAGTCCCAATCCACCAATTCCTGGTGCGTCGCTGGTGTATGACACTTCTGCTGCAATGGCCAACTTGGAAGAAGTCCCACCCATAGAAAATACCAGTCACTTTAATGGATTACTTGTTCAGAATCCTCTGGACAGTACATCATACGCACGGTCACATCCTTTTTTGTCGACCAACTTCCTCGCTGGCTTGGCTTCATCCGAAACAGGTAGGGTTTTTATGGTGAACGTACACTATACATTACCTTTAATCGTAGACCGTTTGCCTCGTGATACAAAAACAAAAATACTTAACTCACCGCTCTGTGTCGTTTCCATTCATCCATATGTCTTGTGTTGCCCTGTGATGTTTTACCTCTTTCCGCTTAACACTACGTTGCTGGGCAACCTCAACCGGTGACAGCCGGCGGCTTGTACGTAAATGCATGGGTTGAATTCCCTTTGAGCAACTACTCCGATCACTGTGTAGTATGAGAGCCGTTATATTTTTAAGACTGAGTCTTGTTTGATCGAAAAGGAACCCTTCTAACAGTTATGTACTTTTCTCGTGCATTGTAGGACGTGACGATGATGATGAGCTTGGAGAAATTTCCAGACCTTTATCCCCTGCCGAGATATCAATCCCACAGCAGCTACAACAGTTTGCCAGTCGTCAGATCTTGGCGCCTAATTTTGATTCTAGCATTCCATCAACATTGCCTCTTGGGAGTGCAGCAACTTCATATTTCTCTGCCTCTTCTTGTGGCAGTACTGGTCCTGCATCAGTTCCTTCTGCTGCTAAACATGGCGCGTCTTTTCCGGGTACAGCCTCTGCATCGTTAGACCCATCAGAGGGTGTTGCTTCACGACAGCCTATTCTTCCTTTCGGTGCTAGCTATTTGTCGGAGCTACTTTCCCTGGCGGCTAAACATATCGCTCAGCTGTCGTCTTCAGCTAGTGGCACACAGACAAGCCTAGAAGAAGTGACTCCACTGATCCCTATGGTGTCCTCTCCATCATCAGCATATGTACCACCCACTGAAGTACTGGCTGATGTAGTTACCGCTGATCCTGTTGAACATGTTCGTCGAGAGTTACCCTTCGACGCCAATGCATTCCTGCTTTCTCACCTGAATCGTGTTTCGGCTCTCGGGCAGTCTCAGGTAACCACCACTACCGCGAACACCGGACCTGCAGTTACAGAAACTCCGGAACAAGATTCGTTTGTGACTTTGACATGCACTATACCTGCATCCCTGGAAGCAGTCATGCGCGAAATCATTCACCGTCTTTGTAGTGCTCCTTTGAGGTCTTATCTTCTGTTTCCAAGTAGAGTCACAGCATCTGAGGAGGCGGCGCAGCAGACTGTCCTGCGTCTTTTAGAAATCCCTCAGAACCATGTATTTCTTGGTGTTCCCACCTCGGACGACCAGGCAACACCCTTCAGTTTAACGACTTTCAAAACATCTGGAGAGTCTGCTTTCATAGTACTTGAGGGTACTCATGGTGATGGACGTACGGTTTCAGTTCCCCGTATCTACCAAACACCCGTCAATTCAGCTGTGGTTCTTACTCCCAACGGTACAGTGCATTGTTTGAATCAAGCTTCTTCAATTATTCCATCGCTTTCTAGCGAGCTTCCCCAGCGCTCAAGCCCTCAATATTCGCCCACTGCTGACACTTCTGACATCACACAGCTAGGCCATGCTAGCACCGCGGCTGTTCAACCCCGTGAGTTGCTGCCTAACGTGAATGCGGACACCTTTACGCTGGATGATGTGTTGAATTTACTGTTAGCTCTTCGAAACAGCTCTCAGCAACACCAACGATCAGCCACCACCTCTCCCACCACAGAAACATATTCTGGGGTTAATCCTGTGGCAGGTATTGAGGGTCAGCATATCCCTTCCACAACTAGTCGCCGGTCGTCCGCCACGGGCTCAGTTCATGTGACACCTCACGCAAACTTGGGTAAATCCTTTGCCTCCACTCCTCAGTTCTCACAGCTTCAGCAGTTATCTCTTGGTCGTCAACAACGCATTATCCCTATCCCACAGCATCATCAACTTTCGCAGACTGTGTCGACAAGTAAGCCGCCATATCTAGAGCAAGCTGGTATTCAGTCTTCCCAGCTGAGTAGTGGACGGGTTTCTTCTATACCAGGCACAGTTCAGGATGTTCCTGCGGGAGCCATTTTCGGCACCCAAATTGCTGGACTGTCCAAAGATGGGGCTGTAGCTGCGTCTTACCTGACGCAACCCTTTACACAAGCCAATCTAATGTCACAACAATCATCGGTAACGTCACAGCCAAGGTGGACAACACATGAACGCGTCTCTGCCACAGCTCCGCCCCCTTCGGGACTGACTAGTGCTACTGTTGTGTCTCACACACTTCATTCTCAACAACCTGCGTCCTCCTCTACAGAAATTACGGCAGCAGGTCTTCAGCAGGCTCTCCAGCTGCTTTCAGCGCTCAACGTTACGGGTTCTCCCGAACAAGTATGTTTTATCTGTTTTCATTTATACTGTATGTTCCAACGTATTTACACAAGATGGTATTTCTTTATTCCCGTTCGTTTTTATGTGAACAGTTCAAATAACCTGGAAACAAGTGGTTGCGGCATGTGCGTAGTATTCCAGGGAATGAACAGGATATTCACTCGTTTTTACTCGAAGAGTAAAACCTTCACGGATGAACAGTATTGTCGGTTGCCCATGATCCTCTCTGTTTGGAGTGAGCAACGTTCTGTAAATTTTCACAAATTTCTGTGAAACTTTACTTTATTTTTGACAAAGATTCTATGTGATATACTCGAATTTGCTGTTTTAACTCAAATCTTAGGCCAATCAGGATTCAACGGCGACGGAGTCTTCTGTGAGCAGAGTCCACTGTAAATGCCAAAATGTGCTTTGCATAGTTCCAAAGTACGTTTATTGTTCACTTCGCTTCCAGAACTTGCCTTCGGATTTTATTCCCATTTCCAGTCCAGCTGGAATCGACTAATTAACACAACATGCATCGTTTGAATCGACCTTCCGAGTAGTACTGCAATTCATTACTTTTTGTTTTTAGCTGTCCAGTGTTCTGGTCCAGCTTCTAAGGAACCCGAACCTGATGCACTCAGTTCCTGTCGGTCAATCTGCAGCTCCTGTGGCAGCTTCATTGAGAAATCCGGTGACCGGCTTAGGTGCCCGACCCTGCTTTTCTGGCCAAGCAACACTCCAACGGATGAGTACCGTTAGTCCTCCGGTACCTGCTTCTGGATTTAGCGCCACCAGCTCTATTACTAGTTCCACTTTGCCGACTATTTTAGGCCGTTTATTAGCCCCTAATGTGGGACCCACGGAGCGGATTGTGCCCACCGAAACGACAAATCTTGTCCCCTCTCAAGTGACACCGACTGCACCCCTTCCTACACGACTGGCACCCCTCACTTCGAGTCCTGCAACTGTCATAAATGCACCTATTGTTGACACCAGTGGATTCAGCCATTTGACGTCTTCTGGATTGCAGGGCATGGCCACAGCCTCTCCACAAGCTTCAATTCAGCAGGGTCTGTCTTACTCTTCTGGTCAACAAATCCGACC